AAGCAAAGGAAGATGCATGGAAGAAGACAGAAAGAGAGGGATAGGACATGGAAATTAAGGGAGATGACGATAGGTATGTTTAGCCAAATGGAGCAAAGAAGAATTAAACTTACAACAGGAGGCACATTGGGTTAGATCCAATGGCGCCCTTCCATCTGTGGAAGCTCCTACCCATGAGTCGGGAAGCAATTTTCTGGATTCCCATTTCCTCTGGTAACCTCTCACACTACTTTTCACACTATGCTGGAGGGATCCTTACACTAAAAAGTAGATGGGAGGATGCATGGTGATGGGTAAATAGGGAATCAGTGGAATTCACCTCTTCTCTTCCATGAGTGGGAACCTGGAATGACCATTCCATGAGCAGAACTACACTCCAAAACCAACCCATAATTAGGACAGAGACGCATGAAGTTGAAATTAAATTCCTAGTTTGCCACTTAGATGCCACCTAGATGTCAAAGAGTATGAGAGCATTGTCTAGACTAGATGATTAGGCTGATGCCATTTACATTAGCTATCTAGTTTCCTAAAACTTCTTGCATCCTCCAAGTATCACCCTTTTGTGTTCCGACTACATTTTGCCCCACTTTTAATAAGAGCATTCCAAACTCACATTATGCCAGCTAGAGATAAAGTGAATTATTTCCTCTGTTATTCACCAGAATATGTATATTATATAAAAGCCTGTGTATAATTATTATAAAGGTCAAATTAATTGTATAATTAACTTCAAGAACTGCTGGTTTCAGAAGTATTATGTATATCAGAATTTTAAATATTGGTGCTAATAGCAGATTCCCTCCAAACAGCATCTTCGGGGTTTGGTGTTAGGAATGCAGTATGCATGGGAAAGGCCTTAGCCCCACTTTTCTATCTGCCACATTCATATTGACCTCCACATCTATTGTACATTAGCAAACATGTATTTAACAAAGTTAATATGTTAAATGTGTTAAATGCATGACATAAACTTCCTGGGCTGGACTTCTCTTCTTCCATTTCCCTGCCCCCCATCCCCAAGACTTTCTTCAGGTCTTTTAAGTAGCCCCTGAAAAGATGGACTGTCTCAGGTAGTTAATTGTTTCTTCACTAACTACTTAGCAGTTATTACTAAGCACAAGGGGTTGTGAACTGTTAAATGTGATAATGCATCATAGAGGTGCTTTGCCCCCTCTTTGGGCATTATGCCTGAATTGAAAACATCAGTCCATGTTGGAGGTCACTGTTCCAAACATCCTTACGCCTGCCCACTTAGTCCCAGACCTTTTGATGTTGAACGTAGAAGGTCTGAAGGGGATTCTATCCACATCCATTTGAAGGTGAGTAGAAATCACCATACAACCACGAGCTCTGCTAAACTAGCCTCCCTACTCTGTGGATACAACCCAAAAATGCAGGTAGATGCTCCCATCAGATCTTCCTTGCTCAACACAGGAAGGTATGGAATAGAGAGATTGTACAGTCTGCACACAGAGAGATGTTGGAGGCAGGGCTGGCACACATAGCCCTGGGTCACCTACATGCAGGATTTTCTGTTCAGAAAGCATATGTATTTCTAAAATAATGCCTTTGCAGGGTGCATGTGATCAAACCCAGACTGTGGTTAAGACAAATTCTTAATTGTCCACCCCACCAAAGTCTCCCATCTAGGCTTCCCATCATGGATCCTACACTGGGCTTCCAATTGCTGTTTTAAATATGAGTGGGTTTTTCCCCCTCCTCTTGAAGCATATAGATGAGGAAACAAGTGGATGTTTCATTAATATTACTCAGTCAGCAGATGCAAATCCATAAGAACCAACTGGCACAATTGCAATCAAGAATTCACAGACAGAATGCAAAAAGCTAGCCAGCTGAAATGTGGCTCATTCAGTATATTTTTAGAATTTCACAAATTCAAGGGGAAAGATGAGGGGAAGGGGTAGGACACCAGCAATGGCCCACAACAGCAGGAGTCCTCAGGCATTGCTCCACAGCAGGCTCTCTCTATGTGTCCACCTACCTGCACTTTTGGTCTGGTACAAACCCACTTAGGGTCACTGTGTAAACTGAGGTCTGTGGTGTTGGGTGAATGAAAAAGCAGGTAGGACTAAACTCAGAGGATGCTTTTCATCGGAAAGGAGAATCAGGGTGGGGTAGGAAGTCAGGAAACAGCTAGGTAAGGCTTGGAGATGCATGTGCCTGCAACACTTCCTGTTTTATGTTAATTATTGTGGTTCAAACACAATTTTTTCTCGGGGTTACTTCATGGAAAGATATTTATTCCACTTTCCCACTATAAAAGCATTCAATGTAGTGTACAACATCAACAAATGAAAACAACACATTTAAAACTAATTGAATAGTTTTATTGATAAAAAGGTGTCCCAACCAGTTAATATTAATAGATATTATTCGCCACCATTTTCACCAGCAGCACCTCCAATTAAAGCTGACAGTTCTCAAGTAAAAGCTTTTGGCTTGCCCTTCAGTTATGCCAGATGGAATTCTTTATCTGAGGAACCAATTCCATGCATGCTGGGCAAATAAGGTATGAACAAGTTTGTGGGCACGTACAAACTCTACTTGTGTGGGCTTTGCCTGTACAGTTGTGGGCCACTGAATAAGTAAACAAATCAAGCAAACAAAGTCTATTTGCATACCATTTAGATTGTGCAGGCCATAGTTTCCCCAACTTCCCCTCCCCCGACCATTTGCTTAGGGTCTTGGTGGACCACTTGCCTCTTTCTGCACATAGTAGCATGTTTAGTTTAGGACACGTTTAGTCGTGTCCGACTCTTCATGACCCCATGGGCCAGAGCACGCCAGGCACTCCTGTCTTCCACTGCCTCCCACAGTTTGGTCAAACTCATGCTGGTAGCTTCGAGAACACTGTCCAACCATCTCGTCCTCTGTCGTCCCCTTCTCCTTGTGCCCTCCATCTTTCCCAACATCAGGGTCTTTTCCAGGGAGTCTTCTCTTCTCATGAGGTGGCCAAAGTATTGGAGCCTCAGCTTCAGGATCTGTCCTTCCAGTGAGCACTCGGGGCTGATTTCCTTAAGAATGGAGAGGTTTGATCTTCTTGCAGTCCATGGGACTCTCAAGAGTCTCCTCCAGCACCATAATTCAAAAGCATCAATTCTTCGGCGATCAGCCTTCTTTATGGTCCAGCTCTCACTTCCATACATCACTACTGGGAAAACCATGGCTTTAACTATACGGACCTTTGTTGACAAGGTGATGTCTCTGCTTTTTAAGCATACAAAGGACCATAGCATACAAAGGACCATAGAAATACCGGATGGGGGATACTCAGGCACTGATTCTTCAACTAGAGAGAATTATACATATCCAAGTGTCCCTATTTTACTTTTTGGAGTATTGTACAGCTTTTATAAAGCACCAAAGACTACTTCAGAAGCTTTCTTCAGGCAAACTTTGTCCAAGGAATGTGCTGTTGTTATTGATAGAGGTGTAGGTGGACTCCGCAATATAATTCTTTTAATACTGATATGCTGTTACACATGGATATTTTTGGTGAATAACTGCTGCTTGTGAATAGCTGATCAGATGCTTCCACTTACTTCAAACACTAGCATAACTTTATTGAACAAACCTCACAGGTACCTAACCTAGCGCTTCCCTGCTACTTTCTAAGGAGCAATTCCTATGTGGGAGAGCTGCTTTCTTTCAAAGTGAAAAGCACCTTATCTCTAAGATATATTGGTATAAGATATTATATCGGATACTATATTACATTATGCTGGGTATTGCATACATTTGGACCTTTTCTTTTCTTATTCCACGTGATATATGCACTCAACAAACATCAGTGAGGTTCACAGGTACATTTTTCGTGGCTCACAGCATTCACGTCAAAGAAGATGTGAGCATTGCAGGCCCTGAATTCTTCTGGCTTAATTAAAAATCCAAGCCATGGAGGAATTCCTGGTTTACCCCCCCCCCCTTCCCACCTGTTCCACAACACCCTTTGTCTCCCTTTGGTTTAGACTCTACCTACAAGTCTGAGTTGCCAGCAATGGCATCAGCAACAATAATGACATTCCAGTCACAGGAAGAGAGAAGAAGGTATGGTCTCTCCCTACCTTCTCCAGAGCCTGGAGAAGGAGAAAAGGTCCTGGAGGCTTTGGGGAAATGTACTGCACCTGAGGGCCATCAACACCATTTTTCCTGGTGTGCCCTCTATATATTGCACCGGACAAGGGAAGGTGTAAGTTGTGGGCTTACTATATGCTGCTACTGTTGCCACCAGCAGAAAATGGGACAGGAGGACTGGGGAATCAAAGGGCTGGGTGGCTAGGGGAAAGAGGGCTTTGACCCAGAGATAAAGCACGCTATTGCTCATTTTTGTGGTGGTAGCTCAGATTATTTCCAAGACAAAGCCATCACTGCTCAGTAGTATTGTTTGTGGTTGTCTCGTATGTGGTTGGTTCTCTGATTTATGGTATACTGTTATTTGTTCCATGCCTCGTTTCCACATTTTTCTGGCTTTTTCTTAGTCAAACAAATGCAAAGCTTAATACCAAGTCCCTAGTATGTTATCCTTTTTACCAAAAGTATCTTTGAAATTCAAAACTTTTCACTTGTATCTTTTACACCCAAAGATTTCAACGCACCCGTGATGTTGCTAATGTTACTTAGTAGGAAACAATGGGTTTGTATTTTCAAATGAAATATCTGTATAATGCCTAACCAAGAATACATATTCCATACATCTACTTTGGGGGAGAATTCTGATCCAGAACCTAAAGAGATTTGCCAATAAATTCAATAAACATTTGCAGACTGCTGTTAATTATACATTTGAAAGGATATAGAGTTACATTCGTCTTTGACCTAGGTTACTGTAGTACTCTTTGTTCTATTAAAAGGATCAGAATGGCTCTTTCCTTTCAACAGAAAGAAGGGGTTTGATTTGTTTGCTTTAAATATGAAATATAGATATAATTCCAACGTTCATCTTGTTAAACTGAATACATATATGTATATATTTCCAGGTTAATTTGATTGCTTTTGGTGTCATTATCTATAAAGTATTTCGACAAACAGCCATGCTAAAGCCAGAAGTTAGCTGCTATGAAAATATAAGGTAAATTTCAACTTTGACTCTTTTTAAAAAAACTAAAACCAGTTGATTTGAAAACAGCTACCCACTGATGTAATTCTATATTAACATCACTCCTGAAGGAAAGTGTACTTTACACTGCATTAAGGCTTTTTTTCTTGCTGACAAAAGCCTATGACTGTACTTGTGTGTCCATTTACCTGTGAGTAAGCCCCACAGAACTCAACAGGATATGTAGCGGAACTTCCCCACCTTCTCCTCTACCCCCACAACACCTAAATCTGTTCTGGGAATTCACAGGGCGTGCACAGTGTGTACAGGGAAAGGAGAGGGTGGGGAATATCTGCTGCTTAAAGTCCTTGCACCAGCTAAACTATTTAGTTGGATGACACCCTATTAAAATAGTTGGCAGTAAGGATGGATTGGTAAGGTAAATTCTGCAGTTTTAAGAATCTGGGTCTTAAAACTGTGCTTCAAATGGAATTAGAAATCTTGTTAATGAATTAGGATTGCCATATGGTGGGGTGAGCATGGCCATCGCTGCCTCCGCAGGGTGGTTTGGCAGGGGTGATCAATGTCTCCCGGGCACAGGATGATGGGCCCAAGAGGACCCGGCTACTCAGCCACCCTGCACCACAACTCACCATTCCATACAATGTGAACCGTTGCCCCACCACCACTGCTCTCGGCACTTCTTTGGTTCCTGGAGAAGACACCTCCTCACATATGCATGGCAGGGAAGCAGGCAGAACTTCCCCCTCAGGGCTGCCAGCAACCACCCACCGCAGCCGCGGCTGATTCCCACACACAACCTGTCACCCCAAAGTGGCCAAAACCCTGACCATCACTGCCACAACCCTGACCAACGGATGCCCCTTTGTGGGGGGGGGCAAAGTTGTTGAGCTTTTTTTGAGGGGCAAAGGGCAAAGTTATCCCCAAAAATTAAGTTTTTAGGCTTTATACTTGTTGCCATATGTCCTTTTCCCCCAATACATTTTGCTGGGGGGAAACTCCTAAGCCAAACTCGAAGCATAGTCCCAACTTACAGTGCAATCCTATGCATGCCAACACAGAAATAAGTTCTACTGAGTTCACAGAGACTTACTCCCCAGTAAGTGAGTATAGGATTGTAGTCAGGATGCCCATTTTTTCCACTAAGGGAGATCTCAGAATTTGTTTCACTCTCCCATTCAAATCAATGGGGTTGAAAAAAACACTTCTCTTCCATCTCCTTGCTTTCTGGGTGATGCACTCTGTTGGTGGAAGAGAGGGAAATAGGGGGAGGGTTCAACAAACCTGCCTTTTCATTTGTTTGTCTCTCGGGATTGTTTAATTATTATTTTGTGTGCTGCTATGATTTCCCGATCAACTCCTTTTCTTTAAAACTGATTTATAGAGACCTTGAAAACCGTTTGTGCTGGCAAGGCTGGAGTGTGTATGTGTGTGTGCTACAGGGACCACTGAAAACAACTTACTGTTTTTGTTGCTTAGAAACACTCCTGCAGTTTCAACTCGCTGCGTTAGATTTATAGTTAGGATTTAGCAATTGTTTGATTGATCACTTTTCTCCTGTTCCTCGCCCTATCAGCTTCACACAGTGCACTGCTTCTAATGAAGTCAAAAAATTATTCATTTTTCTGGAAGCAGCACCAAAAAAGAAAAAGGAAAAAAGAGGAGGGGGGAGAGAAAAGGCTTTCTTGTGGAAAGGAAGTCCAGCAACTGCTGGACTGAAAATGAAAAAGAAAAACTAATCAAGGAGCTCATTTGTGAGACAACATGGTGTAATTTGTCAGAGTCCATGAGCAGGGCTGGGTGTACTTAGACTACAGTGTGTTAACAAAAAAAGAGGGTGGGGGAATCAGAGGCAATTGATTTGTATGCTATTAGGACATCAGTATTCTGACCCTGCCACAATTTAAAGTTCCCTTGCATTGTAAAAGCGAAATCCTTTTAATATAAAGAGAAAGTCTGGTTTTACAGCCAGCACTATCTCCGAGGCTGAAACTGAGAAACAGCCAAAAGATCCCTTTGATGTCATGCACATGTGCTGACCTAAGAGCATACTATACATTTTTTCCAAGGTTTCTTAGGGGGTATACTTCATAACAGACATATGTTTTACCTTGGGGAATTACACTAACAGTAGATTTAAAATCAAATCATATGGCTCTGCAATACACCAGAGAAAACAGATTTGAAGATTAAGACAGGCAGTGTTTTTAAAAAACCGTCCACTTTTTACTCTTTCTTCTGCGATTTTTGTTGCTGTTGGTTTTTTCCACCTTTCGTTATGAGAGCAAGAGAATATCATTTCGGCAACAGCACCGCAGCACACCCTAAAGGAGGAACCATGGAACTGCCATGCAGCGTTCAGGGATTTTTCAACTGCAAAAATCATTTCCTGCATATGGTTGGGAAGGGAAGGAGGGAGGGAGAGAATTCTAACTCTCTTGCTTCTACCTAGATCTTGTGCACGGGGGGCTCTTTCCCTCCTCTTCCTCCTTGGGGCGACGTGGATCTTTGGCGTGCTTCATGTCATCCAGGGATCAGTGGTCACTGCATACCTTTTCACAATCTTCAATGCATTTCAAGGACTGTTCATCTTCATATTTCTTTGTGTTTTGTCACGAAAAGTGAGTACTTCTTCTACCTAGAAATGCTTCATGTGGCACACCTGTGCCAAAGCCTCCCTTGAAATTTGTAAACCGAAAAGTCCCCTCCTTTTTAAACATCCCTCTCAGAAGTTTTCTGCCCCCCCCCCCGCCGCCCTTTAACCTCAGAGATTGCTCTCGCACAGGCGTCATCCCAAAAGGTACATGCATGGGAAAGCTCACCAGGTAGGGTATTTAAAGGGAAGTTGATTCAGCTGACCCCTTTTTTTACCCCAGCTCGGGGATTGTGCTGCCCCTTAGCAGAAGGCAGCATGGTGTGCTCTGTGTCTGATAAGCATCAACAGAGAGAAAAGGGTAAAAGATTGTCAGAGCAGAGAAACAGAGAAGATTTACATTACTGTCCTATCCATATCAGCTGGGCAGTCCCATTTATTTAAATGGGCCACACTTAACAAGTAAGTGTATTAAGGATTGCAGCCATAGATGAATAAAATAATTCGTGCACATACATAATTCACAATCATGTCCTAAGACTCTGAAATCTGATTTATGTCTCACAGATCTACAATTTAAGAAGCAATGCATTTCAGATTGTACAAGAATAATCCTATGAAATAATTAAAGAGGTTTACTAACTATAGTCATCCGATTCTGGATTGAAGCCTTTTTGTAAGATCCTGCAGTCTGCATTCTGAAAACCCCTTCGGCATCGTCCCTAATCCTCTCTGAGGCCAAATTATGTAAAAACCTTTATAACAGAATAAGCCATACTCTCTGGAAGATGCTTAAAATACATATATTTACCTGTTAATAAGCCACTGTGTTCATTCCATCTTTTCATTTCAGATCCAGGATGAATACTCTAGGTTGTTCAGAAACGTCCCTTGCTGTTTTGGATGCTTAAGGTAAATTGATAGAAAGCTAAGATGAGCAGCACCGTGGAAGAAAAGAGAAAACGAGAGGCTTTAGAAAAATTGCTATATTGTGAAAGTATGAAATGAGCTACTGAGCTGTCATCTCTCTTAAATCAATTACTTTCTCTCCAGTATAGATATTGTACTTAAATGTGCATTCAGGCACACTATATTGTGTACAAACAGCATATCTATACAAGACAGACTGGTTTATTGTGTAACAAATAAGGCTTCTAAAGGAGCTCAGGACTCTTCAGGGCTAATGGTTGTAGCTCAGAAGGGAGCAAACCCAGTGTGCAAAGCTGTTTCTGAGAGTGGCTTTGCTATTAATGTCATACCTGCTGACTTGGAAATGAAAATAATTTAGCTTATTGCTGTTTAAAGAGAGTAAATTCCATTAGAGTGTTAATAAAAAGATTTTACTTTTATCAAAACTCAGTGTCCACTGTTGAAAACAGCTAGATTAAAAATAAGGTTTCTCTCTCTTTCTGTAGATGTAATTGTGTGGTTCTGTGTGTGCATCAATGCCTCATTTACATGGAAACAATTAAGGGGCTTGCATCATGAAGGCGGTACACACATTCCCATTTATTCCAGTTCCAGTGAGCTCCCACCACTGCTGTTTGAAGCTGCGTACACAAGATGTTAGCCACAATCCATACGTACCCCGTAGTATGCCACATTAACATTGTACTTAAGCTGAGGTGTGGGGCAGATGGTCTCATCAACCTGTGAACATAGCCCATCTAAGATAAGGAAAACTCTTATCCTTAACCTCCACTGCCTTGCAGAACATCTTAAGTAGAAGAAAAGGCCAAGGAGTCCCTAAGATGGTTGGATGGGATCTTGTAACCTCCTTCTGGAAACTCCTGCAGCCAAGCTGGCGCCAAATGTATTGCTCTGCTTTCCTTTGGACTACATCAGCGAGGCTGAGAAGGGGTCTTGATGTCTGGGCAGCCTGGCCTGCCAGGTTTACGTCCTGCTAACACAGCTGCTTGCCTTCAGTCCCGGAATCACATTCCATCAACTCTCGAGACAGATGGGCTTCTTCTCTGCAACGCTGGAGCATAACTGCTAGTTTGTGTAGACAATACTGAAGTTGATGGACCAATGGTCTGACTCAGTGTAACACAATTTCCTGTGTCTGAGCAAAGTATCTTGCATAAAACAATCAAATTTGATTCCAATAAGAGCTCTCCATGTCCAGTTTAATCACTGACAGACTGATTTCAAGGAGTCAAAACTTATTTGAGATCTACAGATAGAGAGTCCTTCAGAAGCGCACGGTTCCTCCAAGAGGGTTTGGTAAAAAAAAACTAAATTTACAGGACCATTCAAATGGCAGGTGAACATAAATGCTTAGATTTAAGTATTAAACTCTCCACCTATTCAGTGAAATGAATCCCTTCTATTAAATCTGTCAATAAGAGTGCTGCAATACCAGAGCGGCTGCTAATAGTGTTGTTGATGATAATGATAACAGATCAGTGTTCAGAAAAGAAAACTTAGCTCTACTAAAAGTAATTTGCCCCCTCCCCGTCCACCATTCCATCCTGTATTTGGAACTGACTTTCAAAGACTCTGCAGTTATGTAGGGGACTAGGATTTAATTATGTTTACCGTAAACAAAACACTGGAAATTTCAAGCAGCAAGCGTAGTGTTGCAGAACAGACGCCCTGTTACCACTGTCTGATATGAAGAACATACCCCCAACATTTCTCTGATGAAAATAGGGACATCCTGTTCCATATTAATAATAATTTTACTATTTATACCACACCCATTTGACTGGGTGGTCCCAGCCACTCTGGGCGGCTTCCAACATGTATAAAACATTTTTTTAAAAAAACCTTCCCTATACAGGGCTGCTTTCAGATGACTCGGAGTCCCACCCAACATTTCTTCGATGAAAATAAGGACATCCTAAGGAAAAGCAGGACATTCAATAATCAAATCAGAAACCGGGACAGCTTCTGAAAATTGCATAATTGAATGCTCCTCAATATAAAAACAAACAAACAAAACCACACATAGAAAAGGAGCATATTGGTGAGGAAATTAGGCTGGAACTCTTTTCTCCAAAACCTACAGTTGCAGTATTTTTATGATTATTATTAATGAGCAACATACAGTCCCCACCTGCAGTGTGAAGTTGTGTAGTCTAATCACAGGTTTTCTATCTCAATGAGAACCACACCTTAAACACTGAATGCTGTTTTTTCTTGACTCTTCCATTTTCTGCTGAACAACCGCTTCCCATTGTGGCCATTCTAGCATTCAAACCACTTGGCAACCAGACGATTATATTTATATTGTAATACTAATGTCAAATGTTTTTGTTTTGTTTTTGTTTTTTGCTTTAAAAAAACCCCAAACACCTCTGGACACACTAATTATTTACTCACCTTGTAGTAATCACTTGTACTTTCCAATTCCAAGAACCATATCTTCTTTTAAACACATGTATTGTTTTTTCTTCACTGCACCTCACACAATGGTCCTTCCCACACCCCCGAACTACACCACCATCCTTGGCAAAGCATGGGGAGCTCTTCAGGTGTCCAGAGGCCTTCCTTGACAGAGCCCTCCTTCTATGTAAAGGCATGTTATTTTTATGTAACATGCTAATTTGCTAACTTGATGAAGGGTTGAAATCCCTTCTAGATTTCATGGTTTAAAAGCTGCAGAAAGAAATAATCAAGGGCCTAGGATTCTGTTACACAGTTAAGCAGGAAACCAAAACAACCCAGAAGGAGTGGCTGGGAGTCAACCACTGTACAGTGGTACCTTGGGTTAAGAACTTAATTCGTTCTGGAGGTCTGTTCTTAACCTGAAACTGTTCTTAACCTGAAGCACCACTTTAGCTAATGGGGCCTCCCGCTGCTGCTGCGCCGCTGGGGCACGATTTCTGTTCTCGTCCTGAAGCAAAGTTCTTAACCCGAGGTAATATTTCTGGGTTAGTGGAGTCTGTAACCTGAAGCGTATGTAACCTGACGCGTATGTAACCCGAGGTACCCCTCTACGTCTGCTCAACCTGCTACACAAAGTCTGCAGTGCTGTATATGCTTTCAGCTTGTATGCACGTAGGTTCTTTGTAAAGACTTGGATCAACATACTGAGGACAATGGAGGGTCTGGCAGATAGGATAACAACCACTTCTCACATGTTCATTTCCCAAAGATTAGAGGTTCAGTTCTGAGCCAATAACACCAGCTGAGTTGGGGTTATTTAACCATTTTGGGGACAAAGGGAAATCCCTTGTGAAAATTGAGGAGAGATGGGATATTTGGCTTGTCTTTTGTTGTTGCTGTTGGTTTGGGCACTTAGCTTAGTCTTCAATGAGTTGTATCCAATGCTAGTGCTATCCTCTTTGCTGTCATTCCCTGACAGCATTGACAGTAATGAGAAGGAGGAACTGCTTCCACTTGCCTCATCTACTGTTTGGACTTGCCTGAGGAAGCAGGATGAAAGAAAGAAAATGCACAGGGGTCACAAGGTGTTAGCACGCTTCAGGAAGGCTCACCACTGTAGACATCTTGCCCCAAATCCCAAAGAACTTTGAGAAGGCACGGCCTGTTCTGTACAGAAAGTTCCTGTGTGGTTAATTAATTCTCAGCTCTCCTAATTAATATATATATATGGCCTATGCGAACTTGTCCCACCTAATGTAAGCATTGCACAAGGTCGAAGAGCTGCAAATGCACACATCTGGGGGAGATAAAATGTTAACCAACCTGTCAACTGCTAGACTTTTAGATTAGATCTACGTTAAGTCAAGACATAGCCACAGCCTGGGCCTGTCTGGAAAAGCTATTTATAAACAAAATGAATAGAAGGGGAAGCATAACATGTTCAGTACATTGACACTCCATTTAGCCTTGGCTAAAGTGTCAGATGCCAGCATAATAAAGTTGTTCGCAACATTCGGCTTTCTTCATGTTTCTCTGCCAAAAGGATATAAGCCACGCTGGTCTTATTTAGTCACTTACTGTAGCAGACTTCACCTAATCCACCTTGTACAAAACAATTTAGCCGTGGTAAAGTTACACACTCAATTTTCTAGTGAAATACAATGCTATCTCTTTCGAGAAGAGTATGCTCCATTCTGCTTCTAATCCAGTGATAATTCTTAGGAGCAGGAAATGTTTCGCGTAGCTTTCGAGTAATAAGAAATATGCACAAGGGGGCATCAGGTGCACCTCCAAGCCGGCAAGAGCTGTTGAAATCAATTAGGGATGTCGCCAACACTGATTTTTCCCGGCTTGAAAATATGGTCACTTTCAATGCACGCCTAAAGTGCAAGCCAGGCCCAATGGCCACAAAATTCTTTTTCATCTTTAATTTGGAGAAGAATGCAACTCCTTTGGTCTTCCCTTCCTTCCATCCACACATGATCCTTCCAGATCCTCCCCTTCCAGAAGGGAGGTCTTTTCACTTTTCTTATGCACTGGGCCTAAGGTAAGGTTGCTAGATTTTTTTCAATAAATCCAGGGACACTTTTCAACTTCAATGGATTTTGTATGGGACTGATCTGTAAATCCAGGGACTGTCCCCGGGAAAAGGGGACGTCTGGTAACCTTAGCCTAAGGTAGACCTATAAAATGAATTTTTTTGCAAGGGTTCCTGATATAAGCCAAATCAGGTTTTGCCTTGCATGCTTTTGGGCACAGTACAATATCCAAAGCTTTTTTTTCCCCCCAGCCAGAATTCACCAAAACTCAGTTGCGGCACCTCTCAGGCAGGTGCCATTGCCATTATAAGAGAACAAGGAGGTATTCGTGGTGGGTTCCAGCACCTCTTTTTCTAGAAAAATAGTACTGTGGTGGTATTCAACTAAGCTTTACTCAGAAATGACCTGTTGAAATTATTGGCCCTATTGAGGTCATATGCATTAATTTTGAATGGGTCTAATGTGAATGAGTAAAGCTTAATACCATCCTTGGGCACTAAAATTGAGGGAGAGATTGAAAATTTAAATTATTAGTAATGATTCAATAGCCAGTATTTTTTTTAAAAAATGAAAATGCATGAAACATACCTAATACTAAAAACCCTAAATGTCTACTCTTCATGAGACAAATATACTTCATTCATTCATTCATTCATTCATTTATATCCTACCTTTCATAATACAGTGGTACCTCTGGATGCGAACGGGATCCATTCTGGAGCCCCGTTCACATCCTGAAGCGAACACAACCTGCGTCTGCATGTGTGCAGGTTAGGATTCGCAGCTTCCACTCATGCACGTGACGTCATTTTGAGTGTCTGCGCATGTGCGAGCAGCGAAACCTGGAAGTAATGCGTTCCATTACTTCCGGGTCGCCGCGGAGCATAACCTGAAAACGCTCAACCCGAAGCTACTTCAACCCAAGGTATGACTGTACAGTGGTACCTCGGGTTACATACGCTTCAGGTTACATAAGCTTCAAG